AAATAAAGTTTATATTTTATATATGTGTATATATGTATGCTTACAGATCTACCTTTTAGCAGCAAAGCCCAGTAAGACGACCATCGCTTTGTTTCGCATACAAATGAATAATTTAAATGGTCCCTTTTTGGCGTTTCTATTCCCGGAAGTAGAATGTCGTACATTATATTTTGAACAGGCAACTTATTGGATTCAGCATGCCTTACTCTATATAATACCGGCTTATATATTAAGAAGTGGTAAGTCCGTACAAAACTTTAATCAGTAATATAATGCATTCCGAGGAAAATTTGGTCCCTAAATTTTTAGATGTTCACAATTTATGTTTCCTACCATATCGTTTTCAAATAACGGGTTTTAGTACAGTCGTTTATAAAGACAAAAAAAAGTTAATTTCGTTTAGCCCAAAACCATAATAATTTCAAAGGTGCATTTATCAAAAGGGTAAAAAATGAATCTTCTTGGTGAGGAAAGGACGTTTGCAAAATTTTTAGTAGATGTCTGAAAAAGTGAGGGATTAGCTAGCGTGTATACACTACAATTACTATGAAAGTTTGACAGTCCTTTGTATATATGACGTGAGGTGTCTTAAACTTGTTTCTATCATATATTATATAAGTATATCTGGATTTCTGATTCCTCTTTTTTCCAAAAAGTAATGTTATTAATTCAAACATATTGCTGATTACTTATCCTTAATCTAATTTAAACATTGCCAGGTGCGTATCAAATTGAGGACTTATATGATTACAATTGGACGACTATCGGGACTGCTACAATGCTGCTATATCATTTCGCCTTTTTGACCCCTATATCGATGGTAAGTTGATAATTGTATTTTCATGCAAAATGTTTTTAATAATAATTTCTTGATTCAGTTTACTGGCATAAATCTTAGCCATATGTTATGTGCTGCGCTATCAGATCCATTTCAAGGTCAAAATTATCGCATCGCCGCTACGATACATGAAATCTTTCTATGTCCTATATTGAACAAAACAACTGTACTAATATTTAGCAAACCAATAGTTATGTCTAATGTCAAAAGACTAAGACCCAAATTCGAATTGCCCCTAGATAAGAGCACCAAAAGCGACAGACGTCTCTCAACAGATAATCCGTTACTCACTACACGTGGGACAAATACACAAGTGCAGCTGTCAAAATCAGTACCAACGACACCCACATCTTTTGCACCAACCACAAACAGTTCACCAATTAGTGAAATTTCATTGGTTGCCGAAATGGCGGCCGCTGTAGCCGCTGGCAGTGGCCCTGTCACCATGATGCGACGAATGAAACGAAATTCCATTAATTTACTAACGTCGGAAATCGTGAGTGTTGGTCAACAGCGTAATGATACATACAATAATGCTGATGAGTTGGTAAATGGTGAATATACGTGCGTTACAACTGCCACAAAAATTGACTAGTATATAACTTTGGATTTTGTCAGATCTTGCTGGATACCCATACATTTCATTTCATGCTTGTAGTGCTGGTATATATATATTGGAAAGCAATATATAAGTGCGATTAATTTGGCAGGTCAATTGTATTTGAGACTAAACGGCTAGAAAATCATGCGGTCATGCTTTAATGTACCTGAGTAATCCATGATAATATTGGTAAATTCAGAGAGGAAATTCAAATTCAAAATTGTGGTGGCAATAAATCTTAAATTTTTTTACACATAGCGGCTGTAAGTTATATAAATATAACGAATGTGAGTGGTTGGAGAAATGTAAATACATATACATACATACATATAGAACACAGTAACTTAGTAAATTAGCAGACGCTTTCAAAATACTGCAGACATGTATGCATGCAAACATACGATAAATTTAATTTTAAATGTAAACTAAGTAACCTACACACATTAATAGTTATTACTCGAAGCCTATAATAAATTAAAATAGATAATATTTTTGTCATGCAACCAAAGAGATTGTATAAGGAAAAAATTAAAAAAATTGTATATACAATTAGGGTTGTTAGAAGACATTGCAAAAAAATTACGGAAAATCGATAAACTTCAAATGCTCATCAAAAATGGCTCTCAATATCGTCACGATGTTGTTAAGCATATAATTTAATAACTACAAAAATAACATTCATATGTACATATAACTATATGAATAGTGTTAAGTAAACTTGTATCAATTTTTCTTGCCAATTAATGAAAATGTTAACTATGTATGTATGTAGCGTTCGACTAGTGTCCAACCAAACCGAAAGATATAGTGAATATATTGAATATATCCTAATTTTCAGACAATTGCATGAAGCAACAAAAAATATCTCGAGTATTTAGTACTGGATTCATAAAAGTTGTGATTTCTCAAATGATAATTATTATTTTAAAATATAAACGAAAAATTCGCATTATATATGCCTGGTATATCGTAGATAAGTTTAGCTTATCGTGAATTATATTCATAAATGAAAAAAAATATATATATATTGTAAAAAAAACTTAGTTAAACTAAAATAATACTCAAAATGACTGTAATCTGTTTCCAAAGACATATATATGAATATATTATATTATTACTACTTTAAAATTAAAATAAAAACTAATTTTAACAATATATCACTTGTCGTTTCGATAATAATACGCTATCGGAATGGACCCGTATTTTATTCCGATAAGCGCTGTTATTGTAGTGTTCTAATAATGATTTGTGTACTTGTGGCTACCATTTTACGCAACGTGGATTAAATTAATTTTTTTTAATACAGGTTGGCAAAATTTGTCGTTAAATTTAAATAAATTCAACTCTTTTCTAACGTTAAATGTAATTGACGCCAATATTTTGAATACTTGTTTAAATTATATTCCGTTGCATTAGTCCTATTGAATTGATTACACACTTCCAGTAAAAATACATCAAAAAAATTAATTTCATGCTCAATAATGTCTCTGTGTTGTTGTGAATATTTCGTTACTATTGGCAACGCTATAGTTGTTTGACATTTGCGAACTCTACAGCTGATACAAAGCAAAGAGCATTGTTGTGAACTGAAATTCTAGTTAGAATAGTGATACCATGTATAGTTAACTAAGGTTCCTAATCGAGGATATTGCTTCTTTTAACACTCGAGTTAAAAAAACAATATACTAATTTTATTTAATAAACTGTGAAAATATGATTAATGAGCTCATGCAATTTATGTCTACACAAGAATTTGCGATTTTCAGGCAGTTTGTACATCTGGCAAGCGTGGTTTCTGTTCTTTTCAATTTTGCACGGAACTTGTTCTTGTTAGAATGTTTTCTATCTAACGCGCATGAAAAACTGTAATTTTATATTATTTAGATGATTTCGTTTCGTGGTGATTTATATCTACAATAAATAGTTTAATCAAAATGAAGCTGTAAGTTGTAATCAAAAGATTTCTTGCCACTGTGTTGTTTATGAATTTAGTAAAAAACTTGCAAAGCAGATGGTGATTAATTGGTTGTCATTGAGTGTCAGTTCTAAATGAATGAATACTTAGAAACGAAAAGGATCGTTAAAGAAACAACAAAGTGAATTTATGCACATTCCATTGCAAGCAGTGTTTAATAATATAAAATAACTTGCCATTTAATTGCAATTTTGGTTTATGTAAATCGCAGTTATCAATTAATGTTAAAAAAAGTTAAACAATAAGCCGGGAAGTACCAGTGTATTTTGTGAAAATAGTCATTATGCTGAAAAAATCAAACAAAATTGAATAATATAAAGAGAGTCGTCATTTCGTGGTAACGCATTTGGCTTCGATTTTCTGCATTCGTCTTTTCATTTTTGACTACACTATGAATACGAATAAAATATGTCTTCTGTCTAATGAAGAACGCATTCTTGAGAGGCATCAAGATATGTTGATAAAGCAGGTGGAGTAGACGGCAGATATGGAAGCGACACTAACTATAGAAAGGAGCGAACCAATACCATATATTTTTACAATGCTTTAAAACAACTAATACAATAACAACGTGCTGCAGAATATTTCAGCTGGCATTGATTAGGGCGACCGGCAATGCTTATTTGTGACAATTTGATAACAATAGCACGATATGTAATTGTAAATAAGTTACATATAAATGAAATTGAAAACCATAAGAAAAATAACAAAACGAAGTAATTTGTGAATTTATATCGACGAAGTGTATAATTCTAATTGGAAAATAAATCAGCAGATATCAAATTAGATGTTGTGTTTTAAAGAAATATTTTGTCACCTTAAATGCAAAATAACATAACATTTTTGGAAATTTACAGTGGCATGAATGAAACACAAAATAAAATAAAACATGAGTGAAAAAAATTTAATATTGGTTAAAACTGGTTTATATCTGAGCGCAGAACCTAAAAATGTTGAACATATGTAATATTATGCATGTAATTTAAAGTAGTGAAGCTTAATCAATAAGACACACAATTTCGAATTTTTTGATGATACGTTATTTTGCATTTCAGGTGACCATTTGTACTGTTTACAAATTGTGAAAAAGTGTTTTTGATACTTAACTAATATTTACAGGTTTTAACGTCCAATAATTTTCATCATTTGCATATAAACCTTAAAATAATTGCGTATATGTATGAAAAGAAAATATAAGACAAAATATAGTGACCAACGATTTGTTACTATAAAAAATTAAATAAGTGAAAGTAATGGAAACGCATTTAAAAAATTCATAAGAAAGAGCAAATAAAATAAATTATTATTTCTATAATAAAACAGGACGTCAATTGCGTTGCGTGTGTACCAACCGCACGTTGAAGAATATGTACAGACATATGTACGGCTTGAATACAAATAATAAAAAGATCGAGGCGATAAACCATCAAAGCTCCTTCGCAGTTGCTTATACAAAAATTCGTCTGCCATCACTTTTTGCAAAGATATACACATTGCAAACATTGGTGCTTGCAATGTGAATAGGCATGCTGATATAGTGCCGGTAGACGAACAAAACGATATACAAAGCTAAAGAACTGACGAATATGCCAGCTGTAGATTCTTCCAAAGCATTTGGTAATTCGAGTTCATACAAATACAATAAAACAACAACAATGACCACTACATCCGGTGGAACTGCCAGTTTGAGCCATATTGGCGGGAGCGCAGCTCAAAAGCGCTCTCCAACTTCTGATACCTTAGGTCTTCCCGATGCAGTTTCGCATTTCTACTACAAGCATGGCCTCTTCCTCTCCAGCTATCCAACATGTGCCACTAGCATTGCTATTATGGCAATATTACTATCGTGGTGAGTAAATGCAAGTGTGCGCATTAGTGATTTTAACTATATGTACATATTTACATAAATTTGTGCCTAAATATGTAAATTTACTTAATTTATAAATAAATGCTTAACAGTAATATATGTATATTTCGGCTGGGATTTAGAATAGCATCCCCGGATTTCGGGGATAAAATGGGTGTCAACCAGAAAGGTGACTTTCTCCAAATCACGAANAAGTATACACGGATAACTTTTTTTCTATGCTTGTAGTTATTAATTAACTTACAACTACTTATATAGGGTTATATATATATATATATATATATATACATATATAGTTGCCGCTGACTTATAGTTTCGGCCAGGACTATTTTTTTTGAAGCGCGGCGCTGAATTATTCACAATATACAAATTATCAATTTAAAAGTTGTAAATTTTTTACTTTAAATGCAAAATGCAATTCATGATGAGCGTGGCCACCTCTACACCAGAACGAAAACGTTGAAACCATCGTTCTGCGGTGGAAATGGAAACTGTATCGGGTCCATAAAAGCACAAAATTTATTGGCGTCTTGTGATACATTTTTGGCTTTATCGTAGTAGTACTGTAAAATATGCTGTATTTTCTCTTTATTTTGCTCCATGTTTGCGACGCTATAACTCACGAACGACTTAAAAGAAACTTCAATCAATCAAATACGTATTAGCGCGTGAAATGAGCTTTCCAAAAAGATATAGCATGACCCGATACGATGAATAAAACTAGAACTACGCGCTCTCAGCGCCAACTAGCGAAAATACCGCAAGACTTTTTTGACAACCTAATATATACATATTTTCGTGATCTGGAGAACGTCACCTTTCCAGTGACACCCATTTTATTCCAGAAATCCGGGGATGCTATTCTAAATTTTACACAAAACGAATATATACAAGAGTGTTAAGTAAGCGTTCTTAGACAATAAATATAGTATTTGTATACCTATATATTCTATATTTTTAAACCAAGTGAAATACGAAATAAAATTTAACAAATATCTACACATGGCTCATAAGTAGCAAATATTACAAATTATGAAAAAGTGTGTAAATATATATGTATATGTACATATGTATGCATTTCCTTCTTAATATAATTAAAAAATTTGCATGCATATGTTTTTGTATCCCCATTCCTACTTAAATATGCATGAGTTTATTATTTACTTATTTATCAGAATACAATTGAGACTTGTACTGTGTGAATGTATGTACGATTCAAATTTAATATCTCTAAATAAAAACTTAAAAGTTTGTTTAAAAAAATGGTCGGTCCAAATTTTCTATTATTTTCTTAGACTAGTTTCGCACTCAATAAATAAAAGTCCATATTAATATATACATATATATGTATATGGATGTTTTTATTAAGGGTAATTTTAATAAATTTGTTTTATATCTATGAATTGTAGATATTATAAATAATTATTTATTTATTTATTATATTCTTATGTATTGCATAATTTTGTGCATACTACTGGTGTAAGCATTTGTATACTATATGTATGTATGCATGTGTATGAATATATATGTACATATGTACAAATATTTTTTTTCAAGAACGTGTATATCTATCATGCAACAAGTAGTTTAGAACTATTCGCAGACGTGCTGGGGCCAATTTTGAAATTAATGAATGAAATTACAAAACACTTGCTCTCATTATAGTAGCAAATCAATGAGTAATATTATAGGATTCTTAAACATATTATATCTATACATATAAACATTTTAAATACATTTCTAAAATTTAGATTACATCAGATCTGGCTCTCTTGGGTCCATAGTAGCAGCAAATTTTTATACTCTCGCAACAAAGTTGCTAAGGAGAGTATTATAGTTTTGTTCACATAACGGTTGTTTGTAAGTCCTAAAACTAAAAGAGTCAGATATAGGGTTATATATACCAAAGTGATCAGGGTGACGAGTTGAGTTGAAATCCGGATGTATGTCTGTCAGTCCGCCCGTCCAAAAAAGTTAGTAGGGGGCGGGGCCACGCCCACTTTTCCARAAAAATTACGTCCAAATATGCCCTTCCCTACTGCGATCCTTTGTGCCRAATTTCACTTTAATATCTTTATTTATGGCTTAGTTATGACACTTTATAGATTTTCGGTTTTCGCCATTTTGTGGGCGTGGCAGTGGGCCGATTTGGCCATCTTCGAACTTAACCTTCTTATGGAGCCAAGAAATACGTGCACCAAGTTTCATCATGATATCTCAATTTTTACTCAAGTTACAGCTTGCACGGACGGACGGACAAACGGACGGACGGACAGACAGACATCCGGATTTCAACTCTACTCGTCACCCTGATCACTTTGGTATATATAACCCTATATCTGACTCTTTTAGTTTTAGGATTTACAAACAACCGTTATGTGAACAAAACTATAATACTCTCTTTAGCAACTTTGTTGCGAGAGTATTAAAATGAGTTATGTGTGCGCATAAAAAACTTTTAATACCCTTTTACAAGTGATATGGCTGAAAGTGAATAAAAACATGCAAAGCAAAGTTCATGATTCACGCCGGGATGTAGGTAAAAGTGAATGTATTTAAGTATAGAATGCAACAGTACATATGTATGTATATTTTATATATATGAATATTTATAGCCGCGCACATTATTTTTTCAAGAGTACTTTAACTTTTTGCAAATAATTCTTTCTCTTTTAATAAAATAATTATTGAAAGAGGAAGAGGGAATAGTTAGTCTAATAACTGAAGAAGCTATAACTTGTGGTTGAAGTTTAAAATTGGTTAAGCTCAATTTCTGGCTAAACTATTTGTCCAATAGAAAAAAATTATGGGATACACTTAAAATACCGAAGTTCAAAATACCAACACATCAAAATACCGACAAAATGTAAACATGCAGCTAAATCAAAATACACACGAATCAAAACCCCGACAAATCGGAACTCCGAAGAGTCAAAATACCGACAAACCAAAATGCAGACATGTGAAAAATAGTTTATCTTGTCCGCCTTTATTTCTATCGAAGCACAGAGAGGGAACTCCACTGATCCTGTTCGCAGGGCCTCGAAAATTATATGACAAAGTGTGTGCTTTTCATATAGCCTCAAAATTTAGGTGAAAAATTCAAATAACCTATCTTTTGAGTGTTTTATTTTTATCTTGATATAAGTCGGTTTAATTTAGAATAAAATTTAATACATCTCACATCGCTCGTAAATTATTTTTCTTTTCACTTTTGTTAATTCGTACCTGAGAATCGATGATTAACAGTCAGGTATCTTACTGGTAGCGTTGGAATATCGGAAGGACCAGTGAAAATTATTTTGAAAAATAATTTGGGGAGAAGTAAAATCACGATTGGCTCCAAAATAACTGATTTTTGTCGAAAAACAGCACCACATTAACATCTGTAAAACAATGGTTTCCAACTGATCGCCTGATTTAGGTCCGTGTAGCTTCGAGCTTTTCAGCAAACTCAAATGGCCGGGACCAACCGGGAATGCCGTTTTGAATACATTGAAGACATTAAACGTGAATCGCTACGCGCATTGAATGGTATTCCAGAAATTGACTTTAACAACAGTGTATTGGGGTAAATTATATTCTTCAAAATCAAATGAGGGATTCATTTTAGGGGGATGATATAGATTTTGAAGAATATAATTTTAATGTTTTATCTCCAAAACTACTACTCTGATCAACTTTTTTTTTAGAGTCGTGAAACTCGGAAATAGACAGACCCCGAAAAATACACCTGGTAAACCTAAAGCTAGTTAATTAAAATTGTTTATTTCTACAATCAGCGTGGTAATCTCTCCTGTCCTTTTTAATTAAGAATATTATTAAGGTTTTAAAGAGATAGAAATATACGAGTGCATATTAAATAATTTAACTTATTTACTGGCGATTATAACTATTATTATAATTGTAAGTACCTTAATTTTTCTCTGAAATTAATTACATAAGCGACCAAAGTTTTGCATATAAAGGGTCTACCAACGAGATCGACGTGTGGTTAAAATGAAATGAAACATGAAATTGCGTTTATTGAAACAAGCGAGAATTTTACGCACTCACATTTTCTTTGTTTACGAAGCCATTAAGCCAGAAATAAGTCTTATCTGATAAAATGAAATGACAAACCTTACTGAACACACTGGCAAAAGTTGACACAAATCCGTAAAACAAGTACTCGTAACAACATTTGACGTAACATTTTGCAAGTGCATTTTTTGAGCTGGCTTTACGAGGTATTGATAGGTCAATAGTTATTTTGTTTACGAAAAAAACGAACGCAAATCGAGCAAAGTTCCTGTATATAATAAAAAACGCTTACTGATTATTTTCACATACAAATGCATAAGTAGGCCTACGGAATATATACATATGTATTCATAGATATATATATTATAGTATATAAGTATACACGGATAACTTTTTTTCTATGCTTGTAGTTATTAATTAACTTACAACTACTTATATAGGGTTATATATATATATATATATATATATATTTATAACTGATTAGGGTGGGGAGAAAAGTTTAAATTGGGTTGACTGTCTGTCTGTCCGTCCGTGCAAGCTGTTACTTAAAAGTAACAATTGAGATATGTATCTTGATGAAACTTGGTTTACAGGTTTCTTGGTAAAAAAAAAGTTCGAGTTCGTAGATGGGCGAAATCTGATCACCGCCACGCCCACAAATCGCCATTAAGCGAAAACGTATAAAGCGTATAGTAATAACTAAGCACTAATGCAGCAGCCAGGGGCACCTGTGAAAAAAAAAATAGAAAAAATGTGCGTGGCCCGCCCTCTAATTAGTTTAATGTTTATATCTCCTAAACCGCTAAAGTTACAACTATCAAATCGTTCAGCGTGAATATTACAAGAACTCCTACCAATGGTGAGAAAATGAATGAAGTCGGATGAAAACACCGTTCACTCCCCATATAACGGTACTGTTCAAAACTACTAAAAGAATTTTAAATCCGTAACTAAATACG